AACAAAAGACCTGAAGCCTTTCGATACAATCATTCCTCAAAGTCATAGATTACCCAAATCAGGTTTAGAACTTTATCACTCTTTGGATTACTAATCTGTTTTCTGTCAAGAAGTTAGTATATCCAGCATCTTCTCTGATCAATTCATAACTCTTTAAGAAACTTCCCTATATTGTTCATATTTCTGCTAAATATAATCAGTGACCATCAACTGAGAGCAAAAAAATCAAAACAAAAAATTGAAACACACTTTTCTAGCATTCAGACATAGGCACTATAATGATCAGGCTCTCTTTTCATCTCCTTTTCTCTACATGTCTCCAAAGCAGCTACCTAAGTGATTGCATTATCATGAGGATGCTTTACCAGATATCTGCATGTTATAAACTGGAGTCTTGAAGTTGCTGTCACCTGGAATACACTTCATTGTACTTGTCTAAATGCTGCTCATTTGACACATATTTGAGATACATTCTCCATGAACTTTTCTTGATTTTTCTTAGCCAGATGTTTCAGTTTTGATTTTGAATCATCAAACTTTACAAACAAAATGTCAAATTTTTGGTTTTTATCAAGCATAGTTTCCATGTATTCATTGCTGTTTCTCATTTGAGACAGTAACTGTCTTATGGAAAGAAATTACTTTTTTATTACTTCCTTTAGTTTCTATCTAGTATATAAGTATATGCCTTATATAAAATGGGAACTTTAAAAATCCAGTCAGAAAATAATATTTGAAGTACACATACATTATAGTATTTACTATGCCTAGAAAAACAGATTGAAAATGAAAAACAACATTTTCATTGTCAGAAATAGTACTACAAGATTCACCCTAAAGTACAATGCTCTCAGTGATGGGATAATATCCACATGCCTACAAGAAACACTAATTAACATGATTTCTATTCAAATTTATGAATCAAACAATAAAACAAAAGTAAAAAAAGTGAACTTTACCAACTTTTATAATGTGGAAATGATCAAATATATCATCAAGATGTATTGATAATTATTTGTGATTAGAATGCAAAAGTTGGATACAAACAAAGATGACAGGTAATTAGAAAATATGGCCTTGATGACAGAAACAACATTGGAGATCACATTTTTCTTGGAGTTCTGAAATTAAAAAAATTTTAAAAAGTGTTGCAGTGAGCAATATCTTTTCAAAGAGGTTTAAGAACTGCTTTAAAGTACCAAAGAATATCAGTTTAAAGATTAAGGTGTTCTAGATCCAAGTTTTGGTAGTTTCAATTGCTTTATACAAATGTGAAAGTTGGACAATGAATGAGGAATGCTAAAGAAGAACTCATAATTTTGAATTTTGGTTTTGGTAAAGAGTATTGAATATACCACCAACGTCAAAAGAACAAACAAATCCATTTTGGAGAAAGTGCAATGAGGGTGCTCTTTGGAGACAAAGATGGTGAATCTTCAAGGGAGCTCTGGTGGCCTAGTGACAAGAAGCTACACTACAGTCCCAGAGATACACAGTTCGAATCCACCAGATTCTCTGCTGGAGAAGGAGAGGCAATCTCCTCCTGTATCAGTCAGATCCGATTTGATGGTACACACACACAAAATAATAAAATATAAAATTGAAAAAAAAGATGGTGAATCTTCATCTTAAAGATTTTGGGGATTTTGTCAAGAGTGGTCAGTCCTTGCAAGGTTTTTATCTGCTGCCCATAGGGTTGCTCCTAGAGTTTCTGTGAGTTGTTACTGATATGTCAGCATACTACAACAATAACAGTAACACCATGTGTATGGATCACACCAGATAGAACATGCTAAATCAAACTGACTACATCTGTAGAAAAAGGTGATGGAGAAGTTCAATATCAGCAGTTAGAAGAAAGACAGAGGTTGACTGTGTGAGAGACAATCAGTGGCATGATGTAAACTCAAGTTAAAGTTGAAGAAAACTGACAGAAATTCCTAAGCACAATAAAAATATAGCTTTGAGTTTATTCCATTTGGATTTAGAAAACATCTCAAGAACAGATTTGACTTATGGAACAGTACTGACCAGATAAGTTGTGAAATGTGAAATGACATCAAAGATACTATGCATGAGACAAGAGAAAAAAAGACAATTCAAAAGACAGAAAAGAAAGAAAAATCCAAAATGAATGCAGAGAGAGACACTGAAACTTGCTATTGAATGTAAAGTAGATAAAACAAAGAAACAATGGTATAAGAGAGCTAAACAGAAGATTCCAGAAAAGATAAAGTATTATAATAAAATATGGGAAGACCTGGGATTAGAAAACAAAAAAAGTAGAGCTTTCCTCAACATTTTGCAAATGGAAAGAACTGAAGAAAAAAAAAGAAAATCAAGCACTGAGTTGCAATACTAAAGAGCTTTATGAACAAAATATTGGATGAGACATGAAGCATCAAAACAAATTGGAAGCAATAACCAAGGCACCATACAAAATCAAAACAAATAAAACAAAACTTATCAATAACCAGCTACTTCAGAAAGTAGTGTACGGTGATGAACTCTATTGTCCTGAAGTCTAAGTTGTGCAACAGGTATTAATAAAATACAAGGATTTGAATATCAACTGAGATGTTTCAACAGATTCAACACTGGACATATCCACTTATTTTTGTAAAGAAGTTTGGTAGACAGCTACCTCAGTATGGATGTGATGCATATTTTTGCCCATTCCAAAGAAAGGTAAACCAAAAGAATGCAGAAATGATGGACATTATTACAAATATATGCAAGTAAAATATTGCTAAGTATAACTAAAAAATAATTTTAAGAGTATATCAACATGAAAGTATCAGAAAAAGTAGAACAAAGACTATAATTGCTAGCATAACCTTATTTGCTGAAAGAGATGAAGACTATAATTACTTATTGATGAAGCTCAAAGCCTTTATTATTAATTACACCTCAACATAAAGAAAACAAAACTTTCCACAATAGTATAGGACCAGTATACAACATACAATGAATGGAGAAGAGATTTAAGTTGTCAAAAATTTCATTTCAGTTGGATTAACAATCAATTGCTTCATACACATGGGAAAGCTGGACAATGAATAAAGATGACTGAAGAATTGAGATCTTTGAATTGTGTTGATGGTGAAGAATATTGAATATGTCATGGATTGCCAAAATAATAAATTAATTCGCCTAAGTTTAATTACAGCCTAAATGCTTCTTTTTCATGAAGATGGCAAGACTCATCTCTTATACTTTGGATATGTTATTAGGAGGGTCTTCTCCCTGAGAAAAGACATCACATTTTGTAGAGGGTCAGAACAAGAGGAAGACCTTCAATGAAATGAACTGGTACAGTGGCAACAATAATGAGATAAAAAACAACTGTGAGAATGGTGCAGGAGCAGGCAGTGTTCAATTGTGTATAGGGGAACTATAATTAGGAACTAACTCAAGGACTCCTAAAAACAACACTGTTTAAAAAGTACTTTGGTTGACCACAGGCTTTCCAAAAGGTAATCCATGATCTTGCTTGTCCAGATAGAAATTGATCATGTGAGAAGCATGGTTCTATTATTTTTAAATTTCTATATAAACAGAATAAAATCTTAGGAAATTGCTTTGGTTCATAGAAATAGTAGAGGAATTAAATACATAGGCAGAAATAACTGCTTTAGTGGTGTAACATGAGTTTCTGCTTGCTTCTTTCTACCGGTGTTAAAATTACATGCTGTGGTGTGTGTTTTTTTTTAATCAGTGGGAAATTCTAAGAATTTTTATCACATTCTCTGTAACAAAAATAGAAATTATGTTCAAATCAAATCTATTTGGCTTTTGAAATACAATGTATCAGAGGTACTTTAGTCACCAAGTTTATTAAAATGATAGCATTGAAATATTATATTTTTAATAAGAAAATAGGAGTATAATAAATATCCATTATGTAAAATACTAGATGCCTTATATTTGAATCCTGAGACAGAACAGTTAAAACATCCATTCTCTTCCATCCCCTCAGAGTTATTGTTAATAGGGTAAATATTTGACTTCAAACATTGATTGCATATTATTAAGAAAATATGCTTTTAGAAATTTATATTAAAGAGACATAATATGTTAAACAATTGAGTATCAGGGATTATGAAGTGCTTAACTCATTTATTGGGAGCTCTGGTGACATAGTTCACAGAAATCTGTGCTGCTCACCCAAAGGTGTTGCTTTTTTGGCAGGTTAAATTCACCAGTGGCTTTGTGGGGGAAAGATGGACAATCCATTCCTGTGCAACTTACAGCCTCTGTAAACCTGATCAGCTATGGGTTTTCTCCAAGTAAAGGGCAATAAGTGCATGTGAATCTGTTTATAGATAATCTTTATTACTTACATACAAAGACAGTATCAACCTTACACTTTTATATTCATTCTAGTCATACTAAGGAAAAGTAGTTATTTCCCTTTTCTTCCTCTCCATTTGTTCAAGGGTAAGGCTGAGAAGGAACATGAATGGCTAGGGAGAAGATATATGTGATTTGTGGTGAAATGAATCTTTGCTATAAAGCAACATAACCATATAAAAAACCCAAGAATGTTATATAGAAATTTTGAACAGAGATTTTTACTGCAAATGAAAAACTTCTTGGTAATTATTAGTACAGATGACTTAAAGGCACATAAAAACAAAACCCAACAATTATTATTGAGACAGAAACCTGGGAAATCATTATCATAAATTACTGTCAATAATAATAATAATTACATATTTCCCTCCAAGGATACATTTCGGAACACTGGAAAAAGGAAACATTGTTTGCAATTAGATTAAAATTCTTCCTAATTCTGAGTACCCTACAATGATAAGGAAACATCTATATATCAATATATATTATATTTATGTTGCTCTTCAAATATAAATTGATTTCTTATCACTTAGAAGTTTCAAAATATTTTTTAAAAGTTTAAATGTTTTGTCAATTAGCAGATATTTGGTTCTCTCTCCCTCCCAAAAGAAAACCCAACTCTTTAACAATGATCTTTCTTAAAACTAATATTGACATCGCACAAGTTTTTGGAATGCTCTTTTGAAGTCTTCATTAAAGATTGTATAAATTAGAGGATTTATAAGAGAATTGAGATATCCAAGCCATGTTAAAAAATTTGACATTTCCTCAGAAATTTTACATTTTTCACAGACATTAACAATCAATTCTTTCACAAAAAAAGGAAGCCAGCATATTACAAATGCACCCAAGATTAATCCCAGAGTAGTGGCTGCTTTGCGTTCTCTAGTGCCTGAGATTTTTTGCCGTCTCCAAGATTTCTCATACTTCAATTCACACCTGGGACTTTTCACTGTGCTGTGGATTTTATCAGCATCTGTTGATGGCTCAGATAAAGACTTTTCCACCATGTAGGCTGTGGAGACCAGTCTAGTGTTTTTCTCACCACTCTCCAAGGGGACTTGGCCATTCAACTCCTCTTTTGTAATCCGACTTGCTTGTCTCTTATGGTACAATGTTTTTGCTGCTCTATATATTTTGTAGTAGAGGATCAAAATCAATGCTAGCGGGATGTAGAAAGCCCCAAATGTTGAATAAATAGTGGAAATAATGTGGTCATGTTTGATGATGCATTCATCATCTCGACTAGTTCCTTGGTGCCTCCAGAATAGAGGCGGCATTGAGATAAAAATAGATATAATCCAAACTATTGCAATCATAATGCCAGCATTCTTGGGAGTCCTTTTCCTGGCATACTCAACCGCATCTGTGATTGCCCGGTACCGGTCCAAGGCTATAGCAGAAAGATGTAAGATGGAGCATGTGCAGCAGGCAATGTCAACACTCAGCCAAATATCACAGGCCACTTGTCCCATAACCCAGCTCTCTCTCACAATGTACACAATGCTGAAGGGCATCACCAGGACAGCTACGAGAAAATCAGTGACTGCCAGAGAGCAAATTAAATAATTGGCTGGGTGGTGCAGCTTCCGGGTCACTATAATTGCAGCAATCACAAGAGAGTTGATGGCTGTTGTCATCAGGGCCAGTCCAGAGAGAGTGAGAGATACCAGGATTTTGGATGGCATTGTGTTTAACAGTTCCTCTGAGGTAAAATTTTGATCAGATGAGTTTGAGAAGTCCATTTTTGTTTGTTTTTAGCAATTATTGCATCTGAAAAATGGATACCTGTAACAAAGGAGGGGAGAAGAAAGTTGAAAGAAGGCTTCACAGTGTTTTTTTCTCTTACTTATGATTTTATTTTAGTTGATGCTATTACTTAATGGCAAGTCAGAGAAGAGCAATAGAGTGTGATAAAATAGGATTTTTAGTTCTAATAAGATACATTTTGTTGCAAACATGAGCCCACCTCTATTAATTCTTCAGGCGCTGCTTAAAAGAGAAGGTTGAAACCTGGAATTTTGTAAAGTATAAGCTAAGAATTATTGTGATGGGGCAGTCTGCTGTTAGGGACTTCTCCAAAGTACTAAAGAGCAATGGTTTCACTCTAAAGACTAAGGTGCATCTGATACAGGCCAGGGTCTTTGCAATCACTTGCTATGCATCAGAGAGTTGGACAATGACTAGGGAGGATAGAAGGATAATTGATGCCTTTGAGTTGTGGTGCTGGAGAAGAGTATGGAATATACCATGGACTGCCAAGAAAACAAACAGATTCATCCTAGAGAGGGTTAAACCAGGCTGGTCCTTGGAGGCAAGGACTCTGAGGCTTTCTTTGTCTGACATACTTTGGACATGTTGCAAGGAGGAACCCCTCCTTAGAGAGGGACATCATGCTTGGGAGGGCAGAGGGACAGTGCAGGAGAGGAAGACTCACTATGAGGTGGATTGATTCAGTGACTGGGGTAACCAGAGTGGTTGTTTTGGAGACAGTGAGATTGGCACAGGACAGAGCAAGGTTTAGGGCTGTTGCACATAGTGTAGCTATGAGTCACAAGCAACTTGACGGCACATAATAACAACAATGAGAAGTTAAGAATTTATCAATTAAAGTGTAATTCAATTGAATTAGTTTTATTTTAAAGCTGGAACTGATAACTTGAAAAACACTATATCTGTTGTGGGAGAAAGATGAGCTATCTCCTCCTATGCAAGTTAAGGCCTCTAAAAACTCATTAGAGGGTCAGCTGTAAGTCCATTCTGACTTGACGGCACATAACAAAACAGCAAAATATGTCTGTAGGTATCTACCTATATTTAAATAGATTGTAAGTACTTGATGGCACAGGACAGGGCAAGATTCAGGATGTGCTGCTCTCAGGGCCACCAACGAGTCTTGTCCACTGGAAACAATAAGAACAGCCAACTTGAGCTACTCTCACGTCCTTGAGCAAGTTCTTTCTAGTTCTAGTTTGGCAGCTGTGAAAAGCTGAAATCAAATCTACATTTTAACAAGAGCCACAGGAGATACACGTATGTAAGACTCACCTGGGGCTCTTGTTAAAATGCAGCTTCAGATTTGGTGTATCTAGGATGGATATGAAAATTCTCAGCAAGCAGTTGAATCAGTTAGTTCAAAGTTCAGGGAACACTTAGACTGACAGTGGCTTTTCCATCATTGCTTCTTAATGATTTTCTCACACATTCGGGGTTGTTCTTTGTAATTTCTTAAGTAAATTCATTTTCTCTGACTTTTCTTCTGATAATTCTGTTTTTCTCTTCATAGAGCACTCTCTCTGCTCTAAGCCCACAGTGGATGGTAGTATTGGCTCTCTATTCTGACTCATGGTGGCTCCATTTCTGCAGAGGAGAACATTTTCATAGGCTTTTCAAGGGGACAGATCTCTAGCCTGTCTTTCAAGGTGTTTCTCAGTTTGAACCCTTTCTGGTAGAAATCGTTACCCAGTCTCATACAATTTTCTTTCTTTACAGTCTGTCATATAAGCATATTTCCTGCAATGATATTGGATCACAGAGTCTGAGAGGTAATGGCGTGCTCACAGGTACCGTCAAGACTGTAATAAATATACACCAGATGTGTTTTCGAGAACAGTAGACATCTCAAAATTTAGCTGTTTGCTCTGGAACATTTCTAGGGGTTACTACAGAGCCTATTAGCTATCTCAGAAACATGGTAAGTTAATGAATTTCTACTTTCCTTTCCATTTTTGAACTACTATTAAAAGGGAAAATTAATTCATTGATTAATTTCTTGTAGCATGGAAGGAGGAGTGGCATCCACTTCCATAATAGCTTGCCTCCGGAAACCCTATGAACTTGGAGAGAGGATGAAAGACACCCAAGCGTCAAGGACTCTCCTTCATAGGGTCGCTATGAGTCGCGTGCGACTCGATGGCACTTAACAACAACAACAACAATTTCTTGTGTCAATGAAAAAAAACCTCCTTGAGCCAATGAAAATTGATTGCCAAATCCTTTAGTTTAAAAGGAACAAGGGCCTCACAATAACAAAGAGTTGAAGCTGTGGTATATTCACACAATGGAATACTATGCTACACTGAAAAACAAGGAACTCATGAAATATTGTTCAAAATGGATGATCCTGGCAGACATTATGCTGAGTGAAATATCTCAGGCACAAAAGGACAAATACTGCATAGTGCCAATTTTGTAGAATAGGATTGACATTAGAGTTAGGGTGTGACTGACAAAGATTGGATAAATTATGTATACTGCATTGAAACAGATGAGAGAAAGAACTGTTTAATATATGATTGGGTATTATGATCATGATAAGGGTCCAGAATGAAGGCTGCATAGTGGAGTGGACTC